TGCTAAATCTGGGGCTTGTGGTTTGCAAATCATTTTAACAGCTGCTATCATCTATCCTAGAGAAGTCAGGAAAAAGTAAGTGTTATTATTGTATCACATTAAATATAAATCACAAAGAGAATAATATAAAATTGACTGGTTAAGAAGAAAACCATGCCCTGCCCTCCTAACTGGGCTGGCGAAAGATGAGTCTCCTGGGAACATCTTGGAGAACAGATGTTTCTTCTTATGTTTTCAATGAAGAGTTTACTGGCATCTAATTATTAATGAAGGACTCTTTTGGCAAAACAAGTCCCTTTACCTATGTACATATACAGGCATACCTGGTTTATTGCGCTTGCTTCATTGCACTTCACAGATGTTGAGTTGCGTTTTCACAAAATGAAGGCAAAACGCTCCATCCAAAAAAAGATTACAACTCACTTTATTGTGGTGGTCTGGAACCACAATATCTCTGAGGTATGCCTGTACACTTATGTACATTTAAATGTTTTACGTATACCAGTTAAGTGTTTTGCCTTGATTAAACCACCAAGTGGGACTCACTTAGGTGAAAAATTTATCTGGATTTCATAATTATTGAATGATTATTAAAATAAGCTACCTGATCTAAAGTTTGCAAGTTCAGTGTTTAAGAAATAACTATTAGCAAACGGAGAGAAAGTATAAATGGTTGGTAAGAGAAAGATAATTCCATTGTCAACATAATCTCTTTTGAGTCGTAATTTGATTCAGAAGGCTTTCTAAAGTTTTTTGAATCACTCTGAAATTGTTTTCAAGGATGCTGCTTTTGTATCTCTCCATCAGTCTTATGTCTTTTTTCTGCAAAGAAATTCAAAATTTTTTTTATTGACTGAAGGCTATGGATATTGAAAAACATAAATTATGCCCTTATGTTATTTGTCTGTAAATTCCTAAAGAATATGAAATGTTGTCTAGGTTGTACATACATGGTGAATTTATTCTAGCCCATTAACTACTCCTTTAGGAAGTCAGAACAAATGTAGATTTTTGTAAGTCTCAAAGGGTGCAGTAGTCTTAGAGTTTAATGTCGAACTCCGCAGCTTCATTAGTGGAAAACGGATATGTAATGAATAACCTAATTTTAGGTAAGAAACAAATCACACTTGTTTTACAGATGTTGCCATGTGTCAGAGGCTTTTAATTATTGCTTTATAGTTTTGGATCAATTAGATGGTTGAAAAGTGTCAATTCAAGAACTTTTACTGTATAAAACAAAGCAAGCAATTCAGGCGGTAATAATAGTGGGTCTCAGATTCTATAAACAAGAATAATGAAGCATAGTTCAATCAATAGGCGAAATGAAGAAATAAGATTAGTGAAATAATTGTTTCAGATAATCTCTAACATTATTTTACATTACATTTAGCAATTGTGGGCCCAAATGGAAATTCTTATAGCAGATTTGTGGTTCCACTTTTTAATTTTCTATTTATCATCATGGATTTATCAAACAATATGTATAGATAGCATTATGTACAGTACATGACACATAACAGATGCCTTCCTCTAATTTTTTTCTGTCCTCACTGCCAAACTAGAATAACCCCCTAATATATGCTCTTATAGTCCCTGGCACCTTTGTTTCCTAGTGTGTAATTATTTATTTATCTGTAGACTTTAGGGTTGCTGGATTTTATTTAGCTAATGAAAATACAAGATGCCCAGTGAAATTTGAATTTCAGATAAACAACAAATAATTTTTCAGTAAAAGTTTTTCCTGTGCAACTTTTGTGACATATGAATATTAAAAATTAGCCATTGTTTATCTGAAATTCAAATCTTATTGGGCATCCTGGATTTATTCTGGAGATTCTAGTGGCTTACTTGTTCATACCTGTATTTCCCACAGATTGCAAGTTTTAGAGCAGATACTCTGTTTTGCTCATCATTGTACCACTAGTATCTGCACAGGGCTTAGCATTTTTTCTTTTTTTAGCTGAGCCATCCTGCCACCTGTTGGCAGCTCTGCGACTGCTCAGCTTGGGCCGGGCATTGAACCGCTGTTGCTCAGAGCTCAAACTCTTGAGAGAGCTCTTAACCAACTGAGCCACTCAGCCGGCCCTTAGCATTTTTTAATACTCAATCAATATTGGTTGAAGGCCTAAAGGGATGAATGATACGGAGTGCCACTAAGTTTCCAAGAATTTAAAAATGAAAGAAGCAGTCATTGCCATTAAAGCAGTCCTGTATCATCTTTACGTAGTAAATATTCAGTCAACTAAAAGTAATAAATAAGGAGGAAATTCCTTTCAAAGAGAGACTACAAGCAATCACCCTGCTGGCACAATCCACTTTCAGTTTTCATATTTCAGCTAGTACTTTTTCAAAGGTGTTATTGCATAAATAAAATTAGAGTTGTATTTTCAAAGTGTTATGGCAAATTGCAGCTAATCTTTTCTACCAGGATCTAAAACTAGAAAAGAAGTTTGGACAGATCAGACAGGAGATGTTTTCAGGCCATTTATGGAGAGGGTAGCACAAATTTTGAAATCTTTATCATCACATCTTACTTATTGAACTCCCACAAATGTTCTGCTCTGTGTTAGAAAAAGCAAAACAAGTTAATCTTGTGAAGCTTTTTTAGCTCATGAAGAGTTGATGTCTTAAGTGTATTCTTTATTTAAGTGTACTCTTTATAAGGCTTAGTTTATAAACCGTGAAGCAGGGCTCACTTAGGTGAGTCATAACAGGTGGTAGAAGAGAAAACGGCCTTGAAAAAGCAAATAGAGATGCGTGTCTTACATGCTAGGAACATGACTCTGGATCAGTCCCACAGGCCCACAAAGCGAGGCCTTTCTTTCATTGTGGCTTCAACAGCATCCCACATCAGAGGGCAGGCAGGCAGACTCAGGGAGTCTGAGGGCCTAGTTCCAGGGCTTCTATTAGCTCTCCATGCTCCACCTGTGCCCCAGTTCTCTGGCTCACAAAGGGAAACACAGGCACATCACATTGAGACCACCTACAGACTCTTAACTGGTCCCTTGTAAGGTTTTTTTACTTGACACGAGGAAGTCAGATGACTCTTGCTATGTCACCACTATAGTCATCTGTAGGGTTGGAATGTGTGTGTTCACAGGCACATTCTTTTCTTCTGTCTTAGCATTACTTCACTTCCAAACTCCCAGCTCAGCAATGAGCAGCTCCTGTTTGGCCAGGGGAAATTCTCCTGAAAAGGTGGTAGCTGCAAGTCTTTGAGAGCCAACACTTGCTGAGATGGAGGACAAACCCACAAGCCTGGTGATTACATGATATAGAATTGTGGGTTATCAGTGATGCCAACAATAATGTATTGAGTTATCTAGAAAAGAATCACATCATGACTTTTGAATGTAAGAATTAAAAGTGTTTTTGAGGAGACAACATGCTTACACATTTGAAACAATACGAGAATAGAAGACAAACTTTAATTTGATGACAAAATATGTGGTATAATTATACATCCTAAGAGAGAACAAAAAAGAGTTGAGTGCAGTGAGACACTTCTTCCAGAATTTGAACAGAAGAATGTTTTAGACCTGACTTTGAAAGATAACCCTTGAATACATGGAAAGGAGGATATTGTCAAGTGACAACATAAAGGTTCAAAGGTGATCATTACCTTAAATAGTAAAGGATTATGTGGGTGGAAACTTCATTGGATGGAGCTGATGGTCATCATGTTGAAGGACAATGAAGGCAGATTGAGAAGAGTTTGAGTATCTTCTTCCCACTCTTTCTAAATGCCCTCTCCAATTATAGCTCTTTTAAAATTTCTGTACCTTTTGTTCATTCTCTAGCAGGGTTTTTTGTTAAAAGATCTATGACTGGAAATTTTGTTAAGGTCCTAAAATTCATAACTTTCAAATTCTTTGTAGCTATTCAATTATTGGTTTGTAATTATTCAAACTATTGTAACTCTTTGCTTCAATTAATTTAAATTTTACCAGTTTAGGCAAAAGTTTGGACTTATTTCCAAAATCCTTAATTACTATCTTATAAAAAGTCCTTTTTTAAATTGAGGTATAATTGACATACAACATTAATTAGTTTCATAATGATTTGACATTTGTATACATTGTGAAATTGTCACCACAATATGCCTAGTTACCATCTGCCCCCTTATAAAATTAATTCAATATTATTCACTATATTACTCATGCTGTACATTACATTCCCATGACTCATTTATTTTATAACTTTAAGTTTGTATTTCTTAATCCCCTTTACCCTTTCAGCCTCTCCCCTCTGGCAACCACCAATCTGTTTTCTGTGTCTGAGTCTGGGTTTTGAGAAGTCCTTTTAAAAAAACAAAAAAAAATCATATATCCTGCCACTAAATAAAATTATGCTGGCATCAGATCATCTTTGGCTCAAATCTTAAAGATTTGACCATTAGCAAGTTACTTGATCCTCTTAAAAGGGGGTGTTTCCACATATCTGACAGAGCTTGTATGAAGCTTAGATATAATACTTATAAAACATCTCATATAGGGCACTAACAAGTCCTCAATAGATGAGAACCAGACAGGTACTCAAATGGGAACTGTTAACATCTTCACCATTATCATCACATTTGACACAGTATTCTAAATGAAAAGCAACCTGGTTAGCAGGACTGCCTGGGTTCAAACCTGGGCTCTGGCATTTATCTGGGGTGACTTCGGATATGTCGCTTTTTCTCTCTGTACCTGAAAATGGAGATAATAATAATACTTATCTCATAGAGTTGTTGTGAGGATGAAATGTGTTGATATCTATAAAGAACTTAGTACCCTGCCTGGTATGTGTAAGTACTTTATATATGTTAGCTTTTGTTATTTTTTAGAAATTTGAGTGCTAAAGTTAAACACTTGGAAAGTTGTTTAAAGACAGTTATTTAAAGATATCTTATCTGATCCCTCCAAAGTTGACTTAGGAATAAATAGCCTATTGTTAAATTGATATTAGGACAATGGTAACTTTTAAAAAAAACATGTCTACTTTTGCCTGTACTTTAGCCATTTCACCTGTATAATTGGAGGAAAGTCGACAATGTCCTCTGCAAGAAAGCTTACTGAGAAGCGGCATAACCCAGTGGAAAGCATCTGTAGAAAAATCAGAGCCATTCAAAAGAGAGAAGAGATTTCAAATCCGATTCGACAGATTATTAAATACCAATCCAGCAGTTTTGCTAATCCACAGACTAATGCCAGGAAAGATTTTGAAGAGGTACTGAAGAAAATGACTGCTGCTCACATTCCTACACCCAGTACTCACTTCCCAAGTCCTGAGAAAAATGATGCCTTCGTTTCATCTCCTCAAAGGCTGTCTCTAAGAACCCCATCCATCTCCCATCTCAGCTCTCCTGAGAACGCAACATACTCTGTTATCCTCACAAGCTCTGAAAACATCACAAGGCTGAGATCACAGAGCTCCCAGAATTATATACCGTTGGTATCACAAATCAAAAAGGAGGAGCCCTTCTCTAACAAGGATTTAAATAACTATTGTAGTGAAAATAATTTTAGTAACTTAACATTTGAGTTTGATTCCACCTCTGATCAAAGCTCTGAAATTTTTACTCCTCAGGATTCAGTGGTGAAAAAATTATCTCTGAATGAAGACGGTAAATAGCTTTTAATATTTGTTCTTTCAATAAAGCAATTTGCATATCACTTTCAGGATACCTGAACTAAAAAAAAAAAACCCCAATCCACATTATTGAAGCTTGGATGGAAGCATCCATCTTTCCCTTTTTAAGTATGTTTGTTTCTTCTTTTACTCTCTCCTGAAAGAAACTTTTATATGTAAAATATAAGTATTTTTTATGATTTCAAATAAAAACCAGATAGAAATTCTGGATTGTATTCATAATCATAATCATTGATGTTTCTCTACTGACCTGAAAACAAACTTTCTCCAGAGCAAATTAGAATGTCAGGATGAGAATATATAAATATAGGGGATTTAAAATTCGTATAGTTCCCAAGTGCCTTGGTGAAAACTACCATTTTAACAATTTTTTTTTCTGTGAGAGTTAAAACATGTAAGAAAGTGTGGGTTCCATCATATAGTCAATGGGCCTGGGAAGAATGTGAATTTTGCAGGCAAATTACAATTGAAATTTCAGGAGCTCTATTTAGGGGATTGCTTATAAAGTCCCATATATGATAGGCACTGAAAAACAAAATGTGAAATGACACATTCTGTATAGCTAGTTTCTGCTTTCCCTCTATTTTTCTTTAAAAGATTTCTATTTGTGTTATATTACTCGCTTCCTCACAAAGTGCTTTTAATATTACAGGCAAAAAAGCTCGTTTTCCTCTCCATCATCTCTCCTTTTTTTTTTTTTCTGCTTTTACAAAACTTATACATTAAAAGGAAAAATGAATAATAGGAGACCTTTCAAGACCACCTTTTTGCTTGGTTTATTTAAGTAGCCAATATTGTGTGCTGCTGTTTATTTAAATATGTTTTCTTTGTTAAAATTAAAACAAACAAACAAAAAAACAATCATTGTAGCACAGAAAGGCATTTCTGGATTTGCAAACTTTTTCTTCTAATAGAATGGAAACTAGTAACGGATGACTGCAAGAAAGATGTAACCTACACAATTAACATGACTCGTGAAGAAGAGTTACTCACAAGTGTTTTTCATGCATGTGACACAAAAGGCACAGGTAAGTTGAAAATTACCTGATAAATGTTTGTAGTACTCAGCAGGTACTTTCTACTGTGAGAAACAGGGAAATGGTTTATATGTGGTTTTCTGTGAATCTGTGTCTACACACATGGTAGATGGCTGTTCAGGTGTTGGTTATTTATAATTTTTTGTGCCTATTTTGCATATTTTACCAGTATCTTAAATGACTTCATTGAGCTGATCCACTAATTTACCAGCTCCAATCATTAATTGGAACTACTGACATGTCAGGTGTTGCCACACAAAAAATTTACCAATATATTTCAAACGTATAATTCTGCTATGCACATTTATCTCAATTTTTTTAATTTTAGATTTCCACTTCTGCTTTTTAAGGTATGTGTTCTTTTTAAAATCTCCACAAGTAATTTTTAGTACATAAATGATTCATGCTCATTTTAATAAAAATAGTATATAGATAAGCAAACAAAAAGGGGAAAAATTGTCAGTAATGCTATTTCCCTGAGTAACCATTGTTAGGTTTTTATAACCTAGGATTTGTTTTATAATCACCCACAATTTCCTCTGTCAATATGGTTTTATTTGGATTATTTTTTTAGAACATTTTAAACATATACAAAATAGAGAGAATAATGTTATGAACCCTTATACTTGTCTCATTTTTAATCCTACCCATTTTCCTCTTCTCCACTCTGGATTATTTTCAGACAAATCCAAGACATCACAATATTTCATCTGTAAATACTTCCATGCATATTTCTAAAAGATAGACTCATTTCAACTACAATTACAATGTTATTATCATGACTTAAAATGTAACGTAATTTCTTAATATCAAATATCTTGTCAGTATTCAAAACTTCTCTTTTGTGTGAGAAATTTATTTTTTCTTAAACAGTTTAATTAAAATCAATATCCAAAAAAGGTTTGTTCATAGTAATTAGTTGTCTGGCTTATCTCTATGTTGTCTTTCTCTTTTTTTGTATTTTAAGTTACTTGTTAATGGAATTGGTCTTTTTATCGCATAGAGCTCCCTGCAATCTGAATTTTGGTGATTGTGTGCCTCTAGGAACACTTAACCTGTTTCTCTGTCTCCTGTATTTTGAGGTTTGATCCAGATAAAAGTGTGATTTATTTATTTTTTTGGCAAGAATTCTACATAGACGGTGTTATGCATTTTTATCAGAAGGCAAAACTATTGATGATGAAGGCCTAAATCTATTCTTTCATTGGGTGTTGCAAATGAGAATATTCCTAATGTATCAGATGGAATAGTCCGTGAGAGAAACTCTACCCTTTTTCATCAACTATTTGGCTGTCCTGTGTCTTGTTTCCCAAAGGAGAGGCAGGATAAACGCTTAGTTCTGTTTCTGATCACTTGAGAGTAAGTTGTGGGGTATTTTTTTGTACATCAGTGTGTGTTTCCTATAAACAAGGACATCTGCTTGCATGACCCCAGAACAATGATCAAAATCAGGATCGTTAACATGAATACAATACTGTAATTCAAATTCTATATTCAAAGTTTGTCAGTCTTGTAGAACTGAGCCAACAATCTGTGGGATCGGACCTTTTTACCAGGTAGATAGTGTCAAAATTCAGTTGACCTGAAGGACACCCAACTGGTGTCCAAGAATTGCTTGGATGTGTGGGGAAAAAAATCCCACACATTGGAACTTGTGATCAGAAATACAGCATTGATTGATGGTTTTTGCCTAAATCGATTATTACTATGATGGTTGCCAAATAGGAATTTTCCTATCTCCATCATTCTTTTTATAGTTTACTTGTCAATCTACGATAAAGGTTTTACCTTGTCCCTAATTAATGAATAAATATCACTGTGAATTTCTGGTTCTTCTTTTAGTCAATGGTTTATAATCTGTTACTATCGTTATTTAATTTGAAACTCAAATTGTTTTAAAGTTGGCCAGCAGGATATTCTTTAACCTGGCCCCTACATCTGTTTAGTATATTCCCATTTTCCTTTGAGCATTTCATTACCTCCTGATACAAGCAGATGTCCCAGGCACTAAAATACATTATGAGTTTATCACCTTTCTCCAATGCAAATTTACTACTATAGGGGTTTTACTTATCTCTTCTGTATATCGCCTTTCTCACACAGACAAAACCCTGGCTCTCAATAACACCTATATAAATGCTTATTTGCTTTATTCTACAACACACACACAATAGTTTCAGAATATCAGTACCCAGAGTACTTGTATTATTTCTCTATTGCTGAATTGCCAGAGCCTTGGTGGCTTTAAACAACACACATTTGTTACCTCTCAACTTCTGTCGATCAGGAGTCCAGGCACAGCTGAGCTATGTCCTCTGCTGAGGAGCTCACAAGGCTACAATCAGGGTGTTGGCATTTGCAGCCATCTCATTTGTGGCTCAACTGGGGAATGTCCTGCTTTTTGTTCCTTGCAGAATTTAGTCCCTTGTCATTATAGGACTGAAGGCTTTAGATTCTTGTTGCTGTTAGCTGGAGGCTTCCCTCGATTTCTTGCCAGTTGGGCCTCTTTACCTAGAGAGACCATAACATAGCAGTTTGCTTCTCCAAAGCCAGCAAGGGAGTGAATGACTCCAGCAAGATGTTGCAGTCTTATTAACTTAATCATGCAATCACATACACATACATCCCATCACCTTTGCCATGTTCTACTGCTTAACAAGTCACAGGTCATGCCCATGCTCAAAGGAAAGAGATGACACAAGGGTGTAAACATCAGGAGGCAGGGATGAAAAGGGACACCATAGAATTTGTCCACCTCACTACCATACTATCATTGCTGAAAATGGCTTCAGGTTGTTTTTGGTAATTTTTTTTTTCTTAAGATATATACAACAGGTTCTTTATGCATAGGAATGTTTCCAGACTTGTTTTATAATCTGCTTTTTCTTACTTAATAATTTGGAGTACTTCTCTGTCAACAAATTTTCTTCATATGCTTACACTTTTATGGGAAGTATCTTATTATATTTAACCAATCTGTCTCAATTGGATATTTTTTTCTCCATTATAAACCGCATCATAATGAACAATCTTGTAGCAAACTATTTGCATGCACCTTTAATTATATTGTTAAGATGTGTAGGGCTTATTTAGTCCCATAAAGCCTCTCTGTTTGGGCAGGTTTTAAGGAATTATTAATATTTAAAGAAAAAAATAAGGAAGCTCCACTGATGAAAGATGAGAGGCATATTAATCAGGGTTCTTCAGAGAAACAGAACCAATAGGGTATGTGTGTATATATATTACATACACAGAGATTTATTGTAAGGAATTGGCTCACACGATTATGGAGGCTGGCTAGTCCTGAGATCTGCATGGCGTGCCGGCAAGCTGGAGGTCCAGAGAGCTGATGGTGTAGTTCAAGTCTGAGTCCAAAGTCTCCCCAGCGAGAGCCAGGAGAGCTGAGGGTACAGTTCCTCACCAAAGGCCAACAGTCTCAAGATGGAGGAAGAGCTAATGTTTTTGTTTGAGTCTGAAGGTAGGAAAAAAACCAATGACCCAGTTTAAACAAAGCTGGTCAGGCAGCAAGAATTATCCTTTTCTGTTCTATTCAGTCCCACCCCCACTGAGGACAGTAATCTGTGTTACTTAGTCTACCAATTTAAGTGTTAACCCCATCCAAAAACACCTTCACAGAAACATCCAGAATAACACTTGACCAAATATCCAGGTGCCCCATGGTCCAGTCAGGTGGATATATAAAAAACCACCACAGAAGACCTTTCCAGGTATGTGATAGAAAGTTTAGAATTTTAGTGAAGGACACTGAGGTAAAGGTGTTTTTGTTGGCTCTCCAGCTCTCTTTCCAATCCAATACAACTAAGGAATAAAAGTCATCTCTTTAAGTAATTGTATTAATAATATTTTTCTGTCACTGCCAAATGACATTTGCCATTAAATTGATACTCTCTTTGAAGTTACGCAGTTTCCTTTGCAAGTATCCCCTCATTCTAATTACTAGACTTCTCTTGCATCATGTTTTATACTTACCTTCTTGAGGGAAGAATCCTCACTCCTGCATCTGCTTGTCAACCTCCTACTTATCCATGACCCACCCCCGCTCCCCCAAAGCAGACAGCCTAGGGCAAGCCTCAGTTATAAGTAAAAGACATGCTTATGCTTAAAAAAGATTGGTGTGTCAATTAGTAATTTAGTCTGGATGATTTAAATTTCTGAATGTGACAGTAGGACTGACTGTACCTAAGAATGACCTCTCTATCCTGATTCCCCCAAAAAAGTCAGAGTACTTACTTGAGACTGAAATTTCATCGAGGGCAGAGGAAAAACTTTCTTCATCGAGTGCTTTTTCAGGAAAGAATGAGAGACAAAAATAGTGGCATTTTGTTCACTTCCCACAGTGATTACTGATTACATTTATCTTCCATATTTAAACTTCGCAACAACTCTACAGAATAGGTATCATCATCCCCATCTCACAGAGAAGAAAACTGAGGCTTTAAGAGATTAAGGAATTTTCCTAAATCCACATGGCTGGTACATTCCAGAGCCAAGATTTGACACTAGGCTCATTAGACTCCAACCCAAGGCCAGTGGTCTTAACCACTCTATCATGCCAACTCAACAGGACTGTGAGGGTTACATGGTGTGGCTCCAGGACCCAAGGAACCTTAGAAAGTTAATCACCTCACTTACAAAAAAATAATCTTAATGGATATTCCAAAACTAGTTTGCCTTTCTTCTTCCTAAGGCTCAGTAGGAATTGCTACAATAATAGATTACCTGAGACAAACAACTAGTCAAGATTCTGAAGACGGTGGCCTTGAGGAGCTGTGGAACATGCTTGATCCTGAGAAGAGAGACTCACATGTGGATCTGGACACTTTCCATGCCATCATGAAAGAATGGATGGCTTGCTGTAGAAACAAATGGTAATCGGAGTCCCAGCAGGTTCTGCTTTAACAATTGATTACAGTGAATGCTAATCTTTGTTTTCTGTGTTGATGGAAATATTATAATCTGGTGCGTCTCCCACTGTCACATGCCCTGAAATCATCCGAATGATATACCTGATGCTTGGCTGTGATTCAGTAGGTCTAGGGTGAAGCCTGATAATTTGCATTTCTAACAAGTTTCCAGGTGATAACTGGTGCTGATGATGGGAGGGGATGACGGGCACACTTTGAGAACCTATTATTTAATTATGTTAATCTGATAACATTTATTGGGATTAGGGGGCAGCACATATTATGTTCACACAGAGAATTGAGCTGGCATAGGAGTCAAGCAAATTATTGATATTAACCACATCTCCAAATGCATTCAAACTCAGAGTCAATGGCCTTTTGAGGTCAATGGGGATGTTTAGGCAGTGAGTGTAATTTAGAAGTCTCAAATATAAGGAAATGAAAGGGAAAGGAAAAAATAGTGGGATAGCACAAAAATGAATAAATACAAGGTGAGGAAGGACAATTATATACATATACCCATGATCTCAGGTACACCTGGTGTATACTAGAGACGAGTTACCTTCTTTCACAGAAAGCTGAATTCCTATGGGTTTTTCTCAGCCAGCAATCTCCAGCTGTCAGCTAATAGATACTAGGAATTTATTTAAAACTCCAAGGCCAAAGAGTGTCAAAGTTTGCTAGATTTCATGTAGGGATAAGATGTATAGATGACTTAAGAAAAGATGACTGAAATGTTGTTTGACATACATGAGTTAATCGTGAAGGCAAAATAAATATGTAAAAATATCTAATCTTAGACATGCAAATCAAGACAACACACTATTTTTGCTCATCATTTTAGCAAAGCTTTAAAGGAGAAGCTTTAAAGCAAAGCTATCCCATGTTTTTAGGGCAAAGAAATCAGCCTCCTCTCAAACATTGTAGGTAGTAGTGCAAAGATGCAGGTTTTCTTTAAAGGGCAATTTAGAAATGTGTATTAAACCCTTAAAATATGCGGTGTGTTCAAGCTAGGAATGTAACTTTAAGGAAAATAACTAATCGTAAACTCTAATATATGTGTAGAATGCAGCTTATGATAATGATAAATATAAGCAACCTAAATATTTAAAAATAGAGGATTGGACAAAGAAATTATAAGGCTTCCATATACTAGAATCCAGAATAGTAACTCAAAATTATGATTAGACATTATTGGGCTCCAAATAGTTGCTGGATGAGTAGATGGTTTTAAAATTCAGACAGAAATGTCTGAATAGAAAAGTACTGAGCACATTTGAAAAATTAGCTAAGCTTTTGTCTGGCAAAGAATCTGAGCTGATTGGTTTTGGTTTTTGGCAACAGGGAAGGAGTGAATAGTGGATCGGGTGGCAGCATCAGTGATTCTGTTTTTGAACAGGACAGCATAAAATCGGGTGGAGCAAGTACGTATGTGTTTCTTCCGGATTGTCCTGCCACTTTCTTGTGGTTTGGAGAAGTAGATTTTTCATAAAACTCTCTTGTATGTGTTTCAGTTAAGATGACCACAGATATAACACAGTCTACATCAGGGGACTTCGAGGCTTTGGGCGGAGATGTGTCTAAAGGAGTCTTGTAAGCATTCTTAGTTGTAATGCTTTCTCAAGTGCTTCAAATTGTACTATTTATTTCATAGGTTTATGTAGTTTACTTGTGATTAACTCACATAGCCCTTTTTTGTGGTAGAACAAACATAATTTATTTTTAACTGTTAACTATTCTATCCCAATTGCCCTAGAGCTAGTTTTACTAGGAACACCCATTATGTAAGACTAGCATTACATAAAGTAACATTTTCTCACTCAAGAAACCCTTCTCCTTATTGACTTCACGTGTTTTCCATGGAAAACAAGTTCTATTTGAAGTAGAGCTATATCATTGACCTTAAACTCTTTGGGATTATTTTTAAAGCACTTTTTTATTAGGTCCTTTTAGATATGAGTGAGAAAAGCTATTTTCTGTTAAATGTGTGAGTTTTAGATATAAAGGAGAGGTGATTCTGTCTCTTCCTTATTTTATCTTTCCCACTTCGGGTTTAGCCAGGCAAAAATGTGGAGTAGGAACCATGGACCCAACCTATACTAAGCACTTGGATAAGATAGTAAAGAGGAAGAGGACGCCTGGGACTCCATGAAACACACAGTCCAGACTCTCGAAGTTTGTGATCTAATGAGGAAGGAAGGAGTGACAGTCACAAACATTAACAAGCTGTAGGAAATATTAGGAAAGATGTACTAAATTTTGAGCTACAGGCTACAAATATAAGACTTCAAGAATTGTTTCCTAATTAATGGCCTATTAAAACCTACCAATATCCCTTAACTGAAAGAACACTGTGTCAGTGTTTTGGGGGAATCACCCATAACCCAGGCAGCAACAGGAACTCTTTAGTGTAGGTGGAGACAAGTGTTGGGAGCAAAGTGGAAAGGAATAAGCAAAAGCTGTGCAAGTTGACTTCACAACTAGCAGATGCTGAATACCTGGCAATTTTGGAAAAATCATTGATGCTATTATGATAAATGCTTGCATAAATATTTATTGCATAAATATTCTACATTCATGGGGATGGGAGAGGATAAAGTAGGAAATCTCACAGGAATAGTTAAGCCTGTTTGGGCTTAACCATATGCCTTATTTTAATTAGAAGGTAGTAGAGATGTTGAAGATTATTTATTCCCATTTGTTCTTTCACTTGCAGAGAGGTGTCTGATTTGATTACCTCTGTAGCAGACCTGCATTTCAACAAGCAGAAATTGGAGGAGGAAAATGATAAGTTTAAGTTGGCATTGGAAACGTTGGAAGATGCTAACAGCCAGTTATCAGAGGATTGTGCTGAACTGCGCCTTCAGATAAAAAGGTGAGCCATGGTAGGGCACTGCATGCTGGGAGCTTTCAGTGCCTTTTTACTTTTAAAAAAAAATCTGTTTTTTATTGATATATATAATTCACATAGCATAAAATTTACCTTTGTAAACTATATAATTCAGTGTTTTCTGGTGTATTCACAAGGTTGTACAACCATCACCATGATCTAATTCCAGAACATTTTTGTCACTCCAAAAAGAAATCACATGTAGACTAGCAGCTACTCCCCATTTTTCCCTCCCTCCATCCCTTTCAGCCAGTAATCTGTGGATTTGCCTGTTCTGGACATTTCATATAAAAGCAATCATACAATATGTGTCCTCTGGGACTGGCTTCTTTCACTCAGCATAATGTTTTCAAGGCTCATCCATGCTGTAGCACCTATCACTATTCATTTCTTTTTATGACTAAATAACCCATTGTTTGGATATACCCCATTTTGTTTGTTCATTTTTCAGAAGACAGACATTTGGGTTATTTCCACTTTTTAGTTCCTATGAATACGGCTGCTAATGAATGTTTGTGTACAAATTTTTGTGTGGATATGCTTTCAATTCTTTTGGGTTTATACCTAGGAGTGGAATTGTTGGGTAGTAACCTACACTTAGCATTTTGAGGAGCTGCCAAATTGTTCTCCAAAGAACCTATACCATTTTACAATCCCACTAGCAATATTTGTCAGTTCTTTTCTAGCAATGATGTTTTCTCTATGCCATTCAAAGTAGTGTTCTCTATGTAAGACCAATATGCCTAGGGGCTAAGTACAGACCTATCCAAAGTGTTCTGTGGTTCAGTTGAACTCTTACTCTATGCAAAGCCCCATGCTAAGTATTATGAGAGACTCATTGATGAGTCAGTTTTAAAATGTGTCCTCAGGGTACCTATAGCCTGAGGATGATAAGGAAGTTTGTGACCTTAGCTTAAGATAGAAAGGGGTAAAGAACCTAAGAAACACTGGTAAGATGGGTTGCAGGGAGATGCTTGAGCATCCAAAAAAAAACCAACGATGTTCTCACAAGATCTGTGTTTCAGATGTAGATCTGAACAGAAAAGTTTTAAATGAACTTGAGAAAAACAGTACAGCATTCTGACAATGGACTCTTACCCTCATAATTTTTAATCAGCTAGTTCAGCCTTGTAACCAATCTACAATACATACACACACACACACACACACACACACACACACACACACACACACACACCCTATACCTACACACCTACTTCAGGTTCTCTCCATTCCACAACGGACTTATTTATTATTTATTTGAAATATAATAATTCAATCTTTCTTTTAAAAAATGTGCTTTGGATGCATGTGCCAGTCAGGGCTTTTGGTTGCAAGCACTAGAAGCTCACGCTGGTTACTAGAAGCTGACTCTGGTTAACTTAAGGAGTAAAGAAATGTATTTGAAGGGAATTTGAGTAATTCACAGAAGGACAGGAAGGCTAGAGAATTTGGGTGAGCAGGCAGAATGCCAATGTCTACAAAATTAAGTATTTCTGTTCTTTTCTCCTCTTAATCCTTCAGGAAGAGCCTCTATTTCCTTTAGGATCTCAGAGCCTATTGTTGTTGTTGTTTTTTTATTATTTTTTTTATTGTGAAATACATATTTCTTAGAATTAGTTTCAGCTGTACAACACAGTGCAATAGTTATACTTTTTACCCCTTGAAGTGACAACCCCCTCCCCCAATCCACTGCCCCTCTTCCCCCCGCAATATCATACATATCTATTACAATTCCTTTGACTCCACTCCCACACTATACTCCACATCCTGTGATTATATGTATATTCACTTATAGTTGACATACAATATTATACATCAGCCTCAGGTGTACAGTGCAGTGATCAAGCCTCTACCCCATCCATGATGCGGTCTCCCTAGCAAGACACATGACCATCTGACACCCCACAAAATATGTACAACATTATTAATTATATTCCTCGAACTGTCTTTCATATCCCTTTGGCAATATTGTAGTTAACTATTTATGCTGTCTAATCCCTTCCCCTTCTCCCTCATCCCCACCCTATCCCAACTAGCAGCCATCAGTTGTTCCTCTATATCTCTGAGACCACTTCTGTTCACTTTGCTCATTCATTCAGTTTTTTAGATTCCACATATAAATGAAATCATATGGTATTTGTCTATCTCCGACTGACTTATTTCACTTAACATAATAGTCTCTAGGCCCATCCATATTGTCGCAAATGGTATAATTTCATTCTTCTTTATAGAGGAGTAATACTCCATTGTATAAATGTACCACAGTTTCTTAATCCAGTCATCTACCGATGGTCATTTTGGTTGTTTCCAAGTCTTGGCTATTGTGAATAGTGCTGCAATAAACATAGGGGTGAATATATTTTTTTGAGTTAGCGTCTTGGGTTTCTCTGGATAGATACCCAAGAGTGGAATTGCTGGGTCATGCGGTAGTTCCATTTCCAGTTTTTTGAGATACCTCCATACTGATTTCCATAATGGCTACTCCAATCTGCAGTCCCACCAGCAGTGCACCAGGGTTCCCTTTTCTCCACACCCTTGCCAGCACTTGTTGTTTGTTGATTTATTGATGATAGCCATTCTGACTGGAGTGAGGTGGTATCTCATTGTGGTTTTTATTTGCATTTCTCCAATGATCAGTGAGGTTGAACATTTTTTCATATGCCTGTTGGTCATCTGTATATCCTCTTTAGAGAAATGCCTCTTCATATCCTCTGCCCATTTTTTAATTGGGTTGTTTGTTTTTTTGATGTTGAGTTGAATGAGTGTTTTATAAATTTTGGATATTAACCCCTTATCAGATATATCATTGGCAAATGTCTTCTCCCATTCAGGAGGCTGCCTTTTTGTTTTATTGATGATTTCCTTTGCTGTGAAAAAACTTTTAAGTTTGATGTAATCCCATATGTTTATTTTATCTTTTATTTCCCTTGCCTGAGGGGATATCTCAGTAAAAATATTACTGAGCAGAGCCTGTTTTTGATACCATGCAGTTGTCCTGTCATAGTATATTTTACCTTCTATATTAACTGTGCCCTTGTTAAAGGGAGGAACTGTTTCTTATCCATCCTGGTTATCCTTCTGCTTAGTAGAATGTAGTGCTAGCACTAGAAGGTAACCCTTCTAATTACCTTTGAAGCCAGAAATCTTTGTCTCTTTTTTCTATCCCAGCCTTCACATCTACATCAAATAACAAATCCTGTTAAATTTACCTACTTTATATCTCTCAAATAGATTTCTTTCTATCCATGTCTATATCTGCCACATAGTTCAAGTCAACAGCAACTTTCACCTGGATTAATATAGCAACCTCCTGGTTAGGTTCCCTGCCTTTTCCCAAACTTAACGATTGTCTGTTTACCCCATAAGACTATAAACTCCAGAAGGATAAAGTTGTCTGATGGGGTTCACTTTTGTCTTCAGTGCCTAGCGTAATGCCTAGCACAGAACTGAGGCTCGATAAATATTTGTTGAATGATGGCTATAATTCCTTAGTAAGGAAAAAGTTGTATCTTCTTTGAGACCCTACTCAGAAAACAGTTTACAATCTAACGGGAGTACAAATAAGTAATTCCATGATATGGATTACCATAATTCATTTAATAGGCTTTCTTTTGCTGGACATTTTGGCCCTTTCCGATGCTTTGTCATTGTAAGCAATGCTAAATAAACTTAAAATGAAACACATCATATAGAAACTATTTGTTTAGTTGTCATCTCCTTTACTAGTATGTAACCTCTACAGGTACAAGGACCATGTCTCTTGTTCACCATCATAAATCCCCCTGCAAGGCACAGCACCTGGAACATGGCATCATTCAGTAAAGATCTGTGGAATTGCCTTAACTAATATTACGTCTTACTAACAGAAGGAAAGAACTGTGTGATTCAGACAATAATGGATTACAAAGAGAGTCTCCAAATCTTTATCTTCAGGAATAATTTTGTTTTCTTATTCTTTTTTCCCCACCACACTCCCCCCAAATCTCTTCCTTTTCCAAGTACTATGAAAGATAGTGGGTATATTTTTACTATTGTTGGCATCTGGTTTAAGTTTTCAGTGGTTTTCAACTTGGGTCCAAAAATAGTCCTTGGCTTTTCTTAGTATATTTGACAGTTATATTTGAGGTTTTGCTCATTGCCTTCTCCTCCACCCCCACAGTGCCCACCAGGCTATTATAAGAACAAATCTGTTAAAAGAAGAACTGGAGGAACTAAAAACTAGTTTGACTGCTTCAGAAGAGCAGAAGACGACACTTGTAGCCCAGAACAAACAATTTGTAAGTCATCCAAGTACATTGAAATTGGGGTATAGTTTACATAACTGAGCTCCAAGAAGGTTGATTTGGAGATAAAAATCAGAGGTCAATAGGCTGAAAAATGAATTAGTAATACCTTTGATAAGTAAATGTGGGTAGGGTAAAAACTGTGTTTTCCTTTTCAACAAAGATTAAAATTTTTTCCAACTTACTCGGTCATAGTCAAAATGGTTTGTGAAGACCTAGAAGATCTCTGGAATCACTCCTGAAGTTGATAGGTGAATTGTCTAAAAAATATTTATCTGCCAAATTTTCAAAATTTCTGTTTTTAAAAAGTTTTTTTAGTACTTCCAGATTACTAAGAAGCTTCATAAATCAGTCCTTATATTAAATAAGCACAGGCTTATAATTTTTAGAGCAAATTGTTATTTAGACTAAGCTTTAACTCAACCAAGTGATAAGTATGTAATCATCTTTACTGAAAATATTAAACTATTATCCAGAGCTTTAGTAACAATCATCAAAATCCTGATATATTCCAGCAGTATTCTAGCATTGCTAACAACGGTGGGCGTCAGCTGAAAGTCACTCCAACTAATTTCTTTTTGGGTCTGTAATTTATCAGGAGATGGGCTCCAGACCCATGTCACTCACTTGTAACCTCCCACAATGAACACAGCTTAGTTTAGCTCTTGCCTCAGTAAAATATGGGGACAAAACTCATTAAGTGTCAGGTAACTCCGCAAGTCTCTATGAATGCACCAGAGGAAAGACTCAATCTGGGACCACTGAGGAGCTTTTACGTGAGGGCAATGTAGAGAAATGACCAAGAACCCACCTTTGGAAGTCAAAATGCTGCCATTCAAGTCCTGATTCTTAGGGCTGTGTAACTTTAGGTACACCACGTAACCTCATATCCTTGGCCTAGGAGGGTTAAATTAATTAATACATGTAAGCAGTCAATGTCCTCTTTCCACCTAGGGCTGGATGATGTTAGCTGTTATTAAAAGTGCAGAGTCCTAGATTTATAATCCAAATCTTTTACATTTTATAGTGTTTTACAATTTCAAAAGAATTTTTAATATTTCATCTCATTGACCATCATAGAAATTCTGTGATGTAGAAACAGAAGTAGGTATTATTTATTAAAAAATTAATGGAGTTAGAAGTGAATTCCAGAGATGTTTTGATTATTCTAAGTCAATTATCTAGTAAATGGTAGAGCTAGAATTGAACTCAGAACCTCTGATTCCAATTATGTGGGGTGTGCATTCCTTCATTCTTGTACCAATGACATCATGGCCTGAAATGCTTTCCCTTTTATTTTTATATTTAAAAGGTAATACCTATTTACTCTATAAATATAAGAAGGTGCATATTTTAAAAAAATAATGAAATCCCACAAAATTCTTACCCTATCCTATCCACAAGATTTACTGTTAATGTTTTGGTATATATTTTGTCCTGGAATATTTTTTCTTCAGAATTTGGTTCTGAATTCAAGGTTCTTAATTATAAAAAGTTCTTGATATTCATATATTCTGGTAATGTTGAATCTGGAAATATCCACAGCTTCAAGTAAAAAGCTAGAACTCTTTGTGATTTCAAAGTGCCGTTTAAATAAATGTGTTCACACTACCTGTCAGAAGTGAATGGCGGTAAGTAGCAGGGAAAAAAGCCAGGCTGTTCCTTGTTTTGTTTTGTTTTTTCTTTTTTTCCTTCCTATCATAGATTGAGTCAAGGAGAAGAGTAACTTCTCACAGATCCCAAGAAACTAAAAGCCGAGGGCTTAACCCCGTATGAGAATATTTTCAGACTAGGCTCATTTGTGATATGTCAATGCCATATTTAAAGTTGACAAAGGAAAGAATGTCAATAGACTTGTGACATTTTCATAAACTTCTCAAATACTTTTTGATTACTTTTCTTTTAATGAATCAGGAGACAGAAAACCGGGCTCTGATTCTTAAGATTCGGATTCTCCAAGAAGAGGTTTGTTGAAATCATTAAAACATAGGCACAAACATATGGAAATCATACAATCATGGGTCCTGACCCTGGGTTACATAGAAACCTTGTGAATACTCAGACTCCTGTGGGACAAAGGCCAGGTTGCTTTATCAAATGACAAGTGAGTAAGAGTGGATAGTATTTGCATGGTTGGATAGAAGTATGTTATTACCTTTGTACTTATCTGTGGAAGAATGGGATTTTAAAAATTCAAATTTAA